CTCTCTCTCTCTCTCTCTCTCTCTCAAGTTGGTGTCTGAGCGGAATGTAGATGCGACTGGAGACAAGAGCTGAAGCCGTGATTTGCACACAGACATAAGAAATACCCCGTTCTCCCTCTCTCAACACCCCTTCCTACTCCTCCATCATGTTTTCTCTTCACTCTGTCTTTTTTTGTTTGTTTGTTTAATGTGAAATACATTCCCAACGCCAAGCATACATTCTCTGTTTGCCACCACCCGCCTCCAAAATACTAATAATGCAAAAAAAAAAATAAATTAAATTAAATAAACTCTGTGCCAGAACTGCCAAACGAGCTGGGACTGATCGGGGATGAAAGTTGCTCTGACGCGGAACGGATGGGATCCGCTGGAACGCAGGTGGAGGAGAGAGGAGGTGCTGGTGGAGRTTTGAAGAGTCGATAAACTTGACAATCAAGCCTCAGAACATCCTTTGCACGAGCCCAGAACAATCGGCGCACACGCACACAGACGAGCGCGCGCGTCTTCCTCAGTCTTACCTGGTGCTGGATGAGGAAAGCCAGAAGGATGCGGACTCCAGTCTCCATGGTCGGTTCGGCTTCTTTTCGGTGAGGGGGGAAAAAAACACAAATAAGCTTCAAGACAGGGTGTTAGAGGCTGGGTCAGCTCTGCTCATAATTCCACTGTCCAGCTGCCGGGGGGAGAGARAGGAAACCGCCAGCAACTTCCAACCCCCCCAAAAAAACACAACTGCGGTCTGATCAGCAGAGCGCGCTGGATATGAAGGCGAGAGCACGACCAAGAGATTTATGACAGAGGAGAGGGGGGAGTCAGGGAGAGGGGAGGTGGAACAGGGAGAGAGAGAGAGAGGAGATGGGAGGGGGGGCTGCTGCTGGGGAAGGGTCTGAGCAGGAAGTTCGCTTCAATCTAAGGGTCAGCATCCTCATTTTTCCCCTCTGCCCGGACTCAAGACACCCAATTAATTTGCAGAGTTTGGGGATGATCGGCGGCGGCAGCGGGTCACGTGGATTCATTAACGCGTCGCGCGGGTTATCAGGGATTGTTTTTTTTTTCCTCCCTCACCAGACAGCTTCACGTGTCTAATACTGACTTTCCAGTAATCGGTCTGTTTTACAACATGATTTACGGTCTCTATCATCGTGGCGCACGTGAGCGGTGCGCGCGAGAAGCGTCTGGTTCAGGGTGGATGTGCGCAGAGGTCCGTAGGCTACCTGCTGGGCTACCTCAGGCAACAGACATGAAATCTGCTTAACATCACTAAAGTCCCGAGACTACAGAAGAGTAATAAAATATTTTACCTACATATTTAGAAACAAATGAAACACGATTTTACTAATTAAATATCATCTCTGCTTTTGCTGGCGGGTGATAGAGCATTGGAAGAGTTGTTGTGGATTATTTTTAGCTGACTTTAAGTCTTGAGTCACATTTTGTCTCAGTAACTCATTCCCACATTCAGAACTAATCAGGTTTGATGCAGTTTATGAACAAAATGTCTCATCAAATCCCTGCAGCTTAAAATCAACACTCATTTTTTTAATTAAACTTTTTTTTGTTCCTGAACTCTCAGATGTGTCGCATGCAAACAGATCCGAAAGCAGTGCAATGACTCAGAAGAGGCTGATTTATTGCAACCCAATTCAGCAGAATGATGATTTACCTGCAGCTTTGGGGGAGATAGTGATCAGCTTTGGCAAACAGGAGGAGTCGCAGGCTGAAAAGGGTCAGGAGGGGAAGAACAGAGCAGGAACAGATTCAGGGTGGCTGGAGCTGCTGAAGCACATGGGTTAGGGTGAACGTTGGTGGACCCCAAGTAACCAAGGGGGTCTCCTAAATAAAACACCCCAGGAAATCGCAGGGAGGGCTGGTTGTGTGTTGCAACACGGGTCGTGATATTGTAAGGCCAGAGATATACTGATGTGCTTGATTAGTGGATGGGCTTCAGGTGTGGAGGCTGATTGCAGATCAGGAGATGATTGGAGCTCAGCGTGCGTTCAC